AAGAAAACTGATTTATTTTTCCCAGCCTCACATCTCCAGTTTCCCGCAATGATTATCTAATGTCCTGAGAGTATATTTGAAGGAAAATAACTCAACTGTATTTAACGCAATCATCTAGTTCGCTACAATATATTTCGATCAAACAAAATAATACATATTTTCAGTCACATCAAGTCCTAACAAATCATGTTCCAATCGTTATATTTATTTGTTTTGCGTTTGTTTATAAGAACTTTGTTGTTGTAGAATTATGTTTTTATACTTTTGATTGGTATATTGATTAATTGATTTTTCTTTTCATTATCAACCATTCAAATGTATATTTATAGACAAAATTATCTATACATATATATTGTGATAATTTACATTCGGATATAGGCGTATGCATGTGCCAATACTTCTACGAAATTGAATACTAATTCAATTACAGAAGAAATATAACAAGAATAAAATAATAATTTGATTAGTTTCATCTAGAATATTCTTCATTACATTTTATTTCTCTCCTCCACGACTTTGTTCGAAGGTCAAAATGAAAAAAAAAAAAGAAATGTTGTTTATGCTTGTTATAACAATCTATATATGACCGTCATGCTTTACGTGCTTAAATGACTCTAAAGTAATGAAATTAATTTACATTATTATTGTTACTATTTAATGAAATTTCATCAAATTATTTTTTTTTTCAGTTTCATTTGTTGGAAACCAAATATTTACTGTAATTTACTGAGTATGAGTTTTAGGAAGTTGATACATATTATGAAATGTCTTTAATAATATAAAATATTATACTTTAAACTTGAGTGGCGTCCTGTATGCGTCTAGTTTAATTATTTATTTTTTAAAAAATAATTAATACTAATTATAATAAGTAATACTACTTCTTGAAAGTAATTATCTTTGTCAATCTACAGTCATATATCGATTCTGCATCGTCCTGGATTTATTCCTTGCGTATCAGTTATTGGAAAGTTGATTAGAAAACAATGCCTCACGTTGCCTGGCCATCTTTGTATTGAATGGAACATTCCTCCACCTGTATGGCAGTTGCTAACACCATTTTGTATCATTGGGGGTCTTCGCTGCGTTCCATTCTGATGAAATATTTATGTATGAATATAGAAATCAATATATTCATACATATCACATATTATATTATTGTAAACTTATACTTTCTTATTGTTATTCTGTCTTATTGTTGCCAAATTGTTAACATTTCGACCGTATATCAGCATCCATTCTCTGGTATCTGGCCGTATCTAGTTAAGTCGACTGATCCTCACTTTGCTTTCAGTCGGTCATTTTTACTCTCAAAGCAATGTGAGGATAAGTCGACTTAACTAGTTATGACCAGAGACCAGAGGATTGTGATTGGTTTAAAAAGTTTTTTTAATTTTAGAGTTCGCTAATGATAGATTTCTTTTTTTTTTTTTTTAGCAGTTTGCGTTGTGATTATAATATAAAAGATACATTTTATTATTATAATGTAACATGAGTTGTAATTTTGGGATATAGCTATTATTAACTTCCAACACATTTCTCCCATATGAAATATTTATTTTTGGAAAAAAAAAATAATAGTAAAAATAACGTGATATTAATAGTAAAGCATTCTCATAAGAAAGACGCGAATGAAAAAAACAAAACAAATAAAAACATTTTATTAATTAAAATTCTCAAAGTAACATCAGTAAATTTATCCTCACCAAATTTATTTAAAAATAATAGATTCGGTATTATTTATTATAGTTTAAATTCCATTGTATAATAATTTATAAATTTAAATATATCTGTTAAAATGAAAAGACAATATCATGACACAATAATTGGGAAGATTTCATGAACTCTGATGATTATGAATATTACTTCTTACTTCTATGAATATTTTTATTAATATTATGACTGTACTAACCAGCATTTGGATGCTTTAATCTTAGTTAATTATAATCACTTTAATATCCAACATTAACTTACTTCATTTCCTGCTTTTTTTCAACTCCTCGTTATGATTGTAATATGGTGTAAACCATTTAGTGTTGCCCAAATGCGAGACCGAGTCCAGTCTTGGTCATGGTCTTGGTCTTGCGCAAGAGTCTCGCAACAGTCTTGCAGTCACTGATTAGCTTATTACTGTAATTTTTTAGATAGGAGAAAACTAATTAAGCCCGAATGAAAAATTAGAGGAGTTAAATGCAAAGTATATTGGCTATAACAATTATTAACATATAGTAACTAAGATTGTCAAGTATTAGTGAATTTTTTGCCTTAATTATTATTAAAAAACTCGATTTTTTTTACTAGTCCTGGTGTTGGTCTTGCAACAGTTAGGCGGACTTGATCTTGGTCTTGCAAAGTGCAAGGACCAAGACCGATTTTTGGCAACACTAAAACAATTACCGGAAATATAAAATTGGATCAAGAATATACAATAATCTATTCATGTTTATTAAAATATAACCATGGAAAAAATAATAGAAGATGCAACTTTTATTTGTTTAAATTTGTATTTCATTGTACCTCCAATGATGAAAGTTATGCAGTGTCATACAAAACGTCTCTGATTTGTGTAAAACATGTATAAAATAAGTTAATTTGATTTACACATGCACAGCCACCCCAATCCAATTTTTTTCTCTCACGCTTCCATAGGAACCCCCAAACCGAATGGAGTTTACTTAATTAGCTATATCGCTGCAAAAGTAAATTGAAGCCAAATCCGGAGTGGTATTAAGAAGAGACGGTGATCCTGGAGCGGGGTTGGATAAGAGGCTTGTTATACGGATGAGCGACTTGGTCCCACAGCCATAAAGCTGGAGGGTTCCCGATTTATGGGATCTGTTGATGATGATGATGCCTGCTCCTGATCTGTCTGTCACCCTCCTCGCCCTGCTAATGGCAGAAAAATTAAACGTCGTTTCATTAGGCGTTTTACGACCCTCCACTTTCAGGGTGTCTGGAATTCCGAGGGGGAGTTTTGGAATATGATGGTAACCTACCGTTGAGTCTATTCCTCTTTAGTCTTATATAATATATATTTTTTTTGTATGTCTGTTGAAGGAAAGCAATGAAGTAGAACATACGATTACAAAACTTTTATATTTGATGATATATTGATTTTTTCGTTAAGAGATAGAAGTTTCTGTGATCAACGTTTAATTTTTTTCTTTTCGTTGTTTCTAATTTAAAAATATAATAGAGTGCTACCCGTGAGTAGTTTCTCAACAAGCGTCTTCATGTGTTTATATTCCTGTGTACACATTTACTTGACGTATCTATATTGTAATACAGTTGCATATATCTTGAATAAATAGTTTTAAAAAAAAAACATAATTTTTATTGATTATTTAATAGTTGACCGTTGTATTATAAAGGAAGGAGATAGTCCGGCGTGGCGGTCATAAATAAATTAAATAGTGGCAAAACTATTTTATTAAAAGCCAACGTTTCGACCCGACTTTGCAGGTCTTCTTCAGGGAGGTGTGTTCAGCTAGAAGTTTCACTTAGAACTGTTTGTTTCACTCTGCTAGCTGAACACACCTCCCTGAAGAAGACCTGCAAATTCGGGTCGAAACGTTGGCTTTTAATAAAATAGTTTTGCCACTATTTAGCTTATTTACGACCGCCACCCCGGACTATCTCCTTCCGACATAATTTTTAGCTTCGACTTAATCATTGATAACATTAATATTAATCTTTTGCTCCATATTTTTCTTTTAAATTTAACGTTAGGAATAGATTAATGGGTTCGTACCTTACTTAACATTAGGCATGATCAGGGGTACTGCCTATCTCCCAAAGTTGGATGACGCAATCCTTTGCTTCCAAAAATTTTAGTTCTTTATTAAAATTAAACTTGGCTCTGATGACAAAAATTCTAGTTCAGGTCAGGATCTATCTTAATATGAACAGTCTTAAAGTATAGCATGAAGTAATGAATATATCTATCTTTGTTGAATCCATCTTAACAATTTAGCTCCTTTGGTATGCCCTTAATTCATTTAATACAACTTTAGCCTATGCTATCAGAATCTGCTTTATTATCATCAGAAGTAAAGCTGGGTTTCAACTAAAAAAAATGTTTAATAAAACTTCTTTATAAAAACATGATGGCAGTAGGGAGTCATCGAAGAGACATTAATGTGTTATCTCCCGTTGCTATTTTATCTACCCTGATGTCAACAGCTGTATATAATTGGTCTCCTCTAATACTTTACGACCCGATAAACACAGCCATAACTTGTCTACACACCGCTTCTGAAAACATATTAAAAATATTTGCACCGATAATCTGCCCTTTCTACGAGATATGGTCGCAGCTATCAGACGATATGTTACATATGATATGTGACAGCTCTCTTTAATTGCTACTTTTATCGAAGGCTGAGCCACCCCGCTTATATAACGGACCTAAAATGCCCCAGTTATTTACTTACCATGTGTAATCTATATACTAGACGAGGCGTTACGAAACAACCTCGGTATCTCATAAATTCAAACATGATAGATAAGCTGCCTTAATCATATCAAATAATTTATTTTAGTCAATACTGATAATTTTCCTGTTTACTAAAGAAGCATAAATAGATTTAAAATTGATTTGGAGTGACTGCTGAAGCGATTGGGTTCTCAGCGATGAACGATTGATAAGGAAACGCAGTTTTGTTTCATCATAAACAGACAATATAATTAAATATTTAATAATTATTTGAAAGTGTAAAATTTATTATTCGTTTGGTTCTAATCATTCTTATTCAATTAAACGTTAAATTAAACAAAAGTAGCATTCTTCAAAAACTATTGTCTAACCTTGATATATTGAAATCTATGATCAAATATATTGATATAATAATCTTGACTTCAACATCATCAGTCTGTTGGTCTATTCATATCAGACAGATACACTAAAGAAAAAAAGAAAAAATGTGGTAAATCGCTGTAATTATATCTTTCTTTTTTATTTTCAAACATTTGTCATCAATTTTCCTTTTTTTTTTTTAAAGGTATGGAATGGACCTCAACGGAGCGCGAAGAAAAAACGCGACGAGGGAGACAACAAGCACGCTCAAAGCATGGCTTAACGAACACAAGAAGAACCCATACCCGACAAAAGGGGAGAAGATCATGTTGGCCATCATCACCAAGATGACGCTGACACAGGTCTCGACGTGGTTCGCCAACGCCAGGAGGAGGCTCAAGAAAGAGAACAAGATGACCTGGGAACCCAGGAACAGGGTTGACGAAGAGGATAACAATAACGAAGAATCACCACCACCCAGGTCCAAGGATGAGACGAAGGATAACTTAGGTAAATATACATATTTTGTAATTGCAAAACTGTATTAGTTTTAAAATAAATTTAAAACCAGATTCAATATCCAAAAAGCATTGCTCTAATACGTTCCAATGGCGAGTCACTCACTTTGTACTGGGAGAGAAGCTGGGATCATGAAAGCAGGTTCTTCCTTTTATAGTCAAACTGTAAATGATTCTTAGAGCAACGAGAGCAAATATTTGATGGCCGCCAATGGAGAGGAAGGAACAAAATCCTGGGTATTAGATAGGTCTTCCTGTTGGGGGCGGTTATTGGAACAACATCAGGGTTGAGTGTCCGATATATCCAAATATTTTCCCTTTGGCTGGTGTCATGAATAAAACGGTCTGGAGTCGCACGTGTCGCCCAAACAGCGACACGCGTCCGTAAGTAATTAAAGCGCGACTCTATGAATCATTGCAGCTGCAGTTATTGCTGTCAGTGGTGCCATAATCTCATGGCAGCTTCCCATCCAAGGAGTGTGCTGCCATCTGCCGATCCCTATCGTCGCTGCCTTTGATTAATGGCTAATCAGTGTGGCTTTGCCGCAGAGTGCTTTGGCAAAGGGGGAGGTGGGGATAGTTAGTTATTAGATGATTGTTTTGTGGTATTTTAGTAATTTCATATTGCTATCCTAAACGGCCAATGAAGTAGGAAATGATTGTACCTGTCCGAGTTCGGGTGCCGGAGGATAGTATCTCCGACATTAATCCCCCGTCCTTTTTCCTGGTACGGGAAGAAACCGTAAAGGAAAGTTAGGGGAGGGAAGAAAAAATATAAACGAATTCAAAACTAAATTATGGGAAGAAATCAAATTATTTCTTGGTTTAGAACAGAAATTACATTGCAGTAAGCTTTGTACAGCTTCGTACTGCTACGGGGATTGTACTAATTATTTACTCAATTAGGTAAAATGAAATTGCATATAAATGAAATTAACATTTAGTCTGGAACTCTTGGTCCCCTTAAAGTTATACATAATATAATATAAATGGAGAAATAATAAATTTCTTGTTACAAATATTCTTAATGAAATGAATAAATTATAAAATTAAATTTTGAAATACAAGTTAGGCATAAAAAAATATCTTCGCAGGATATTGGTATGTTTGCATCAATAAACAAGGAAATTATTGCATTTTTTTTATTTATTCATTCAGAAATATAACAATCCTTCACACGGACAATAATTATAGTGAATTATTAACACATTCACACCATATATATAGTGAAAACTATTAAATAGCAATAAAATATTTTAATATGAACACATATTGAAAAGGAAAATTCTTACGTACGAAAGGGTGATAATTCAGGAGGTGGAGAAATAACTGATGTTCAAATGAGGATAATTATGGGATTTTCCGAATGGACATGGTAAAGAATTTCACTTTTCTGCTACATCAAACTTTTAATAAAAGGTTTTTTGAAGTATGTTGTTCTATAAGAAGGGATGTACAAGTAAATATGTGGATTGGGATCTTGTGAGTGGACAGAGGAGCATGTGATGATTAGATAGAGGAATTTGGTTACAATATTGTATTGGCGTTAAATAGTATTGTCTTATACCGAAACGATATATTAGCGCTCATCAATCATTAGTTTATGAGCAGATCCCGAGACTAAAAGAAATTTGTTGCCTGAAAGTGGCTGAGGCTTCTTAAGCTGTTGTTTCCTTTTGAGACGGACTAATCCCACGGCCCATATATCAACCTCGTTGCTCGACCAGAGCCACAAAGCGGTCGACAATGGCTGTTAAATAAGATTATAAACCGATGGGAATAATGTTTGTTCCGTATATAATCCAGCCTAAACGGTGTGAAAGAGCTCTTTTGTAAGTTCACCGTATTTATTGTACCGGTCGTCGGAGAGGGATCATCCCAAGAGTTATGGCGCCGATGACAGTCCGAGGGAGAGTATTGGTATTCTCGAGTTTGTATTTATAACGGAAGTGGAATTTGACGAATGGGCCCACCTCGTAAGAATCTGTGCAAACCAGGCTCTGTTGAGGATAATGGTTAGTAAGTGTGGTCTGAAGAATAGCTAAGTTGATAAATGTTTATGAATAATTCATTTTTATTTATTATTAATTTTAACATTTTTTAAATTGAATCATTGTGATTATAATGCTCGATCAGTCGCTGATTTACTTTGAGATGAATATATATCCTCTATAATATAAAATATCTGATAAATATAATATCTGAATATAAAATCTCGACAGCTACTTCAAACATGCTAGCCCGACAAATAATCCCGATCACCCTCCGTATGACATGTGTAAATGAGATCTTTGTCCTTCTATTATGGAATTGTTGTAGAAAACGATCTATGGCTGAGGCGCTCAGAAGGGGTTTACATAATTTTACGAGGGTTTGAATGTTTGGAGGGAACCACTTTTTTGGGTGATCACATCACATCAAACGTAATTGTATCTAAACTATAATTTCTATATGATGTAGAGATGGTTGACCGTTTATATAATATGAGAAGGAGTTAGTCGAGGGTGCGGTCAAATAAATACTAAATTAAAATATATTAATTATTTTAATTTTTGCCGACGTTTCGACCCACTTTGCAGGTCGTCTTCAGGGCTACAAAAGATACAAAACATGTTGAAAATAAAAAATAAATATAAGTAGATATAAAATAAGCAGAAGTTGTCAGATACAGAAATAAAAGATGGTATCAGAGATATAATGGGTGACAATGTAGTTAAATATTAAATATTATATATGTAGAAGATATATATAATATAATATATAATCCACTGTATCTTCTACATATATAATATTTAACTACATTGTCACCTATTATATCTCTGATACCATCTATTATTTCTGTATCTGACAACTTCTGCTTATTTTATATCTACTTATATTTATTTTTTATGTTCAACACGTTTTGTAGCCCTGAAGACGACCTGCAAAGTGGGTCGGCAAAAATTATAATAATTAATATATTTTAATTTAGTATTTATTTGACCGCACCCCGACTAACTCCTTCTCATACAATTTCTATTATTTTACTTCAACTGTCAAAGTTTTTAAGTTGAGGAGAATATCAGAATGTCTCGGCAGGGAATTAACCGCCATCGATCTTGTCGGAGGGATGTGCATCATTGATTTATGGATAATTTTAATAACGTTTTATTAATAAGACATTTACTTATTGTATTCATCATTGTTTCCACTCTCTGTATAAGGAAATAAATAAAAATCTAAATACGTTTATAAAAATAATGGGGAAAAGTAGTCTTAGATGTCTTACATTTTTTAAAGACATTGTTAGTTTTAAGGAATAGCTTTAGAAGCAGTTGAGAGATATTTAAAGGCTTGTTGTTGTTTCCAGATTCCAAGGACAGCGGGACCGCCTCCAGCGAGGACGGGGAGCGGACCAACAGGCTGGAAGGGGGGGCGAGCGGCGGCGGCGGGGACACGGGCTCGGAGTGGTCCGAGTCGCGGCCAGACAGCCCGGAGTGCCTCTTCATCCAGCCGGGCTACCCCCGCTACTCCCCCCCCGCCCCCAAGCCGAGGATCTGGAGCCTGGCGGACATGGCCAAGCCGGACAGCCCCCGGCGGCCGCGGGCCTACCCGTACCCCCCCGTGGCCGGCCTCTACTCCCGCCTGGCAGCCCACAGCTCTGCCTCCATCGCCGCGGCACAGTCCTCCATCACGCCCCCGTCGCCATCCTCCTCATCACAAGAGCAGAAACCCGAAACCAGGGCTTGACCGCACATGTGATTTGTTTTATTTGTGATAATGCCCTACTGTAAGATAGGGCAGAGTGCCGGTTCGTTGTACAGAGCAAACAATATGTATGAATGTATATGTGATATAAATAGTTTTGAGGTTTTATTTATAAGAGAGCTCGTTTCTGTTGTTTGCCGTGTGATCACTTTCAGTCGATGTTTAGTTATGATACGATCTGGGAAGAAACTCGAGGATACTAAGCTCCTCTGAGAATGGAGCATATTGAAAGGAAGTCGATTCTGAATTCAGCGAGCTTCTGTTCGATTAACAATGAAAAATTAACTGCTGGCGTTAAAGTCACTGAAACAAATACAGAGGTATTTTTTTTTTCATACCTTTTCCGTGGCTGAAAATGGCAGCAGTATTATAAAAAGTCCATAAAATGGACAATAGAGTTTTTCGGTAGCACAAAATTATAAAATGCACGGTTTGGATTGTATTTGTTGCACAATTTTAAAAGAATTATATGTTTCGATAAGTGTATTAGAAAGAAGCTCCCTGAATTCCTAATCTTCGTCCGATAAATCAGATTATCCTTTTGGACCCATACTCTCCATATATACATATATTTCCATATCCACCGCTAAGGGAAAAGCATCTTGACCGAGAGTGTAGATTTATTCCGACATTCATTTTATTTATGTTGATTGAATTGATATATAATATATATACTATAGTCTATGAAGTGAGAATCATCCATATACAATAATGTTAAGAAGTGTGTCGGTTTTTGTGGTCGGTGACATTGAAGGCGAGACCAGCTGTGCATTAAATACCTGTAACATTATCCTCTCCGCGAACAAAATAACTAAGCGGGCATGACGACTCGAGAGCACAATATCTAATGCCAGTCCTAAATCTGTTAGTCACTTATTAGCATGGCATAGACTTACCTAACATGGACATGGCTCGATATGATTCACTAAACAAATATTTTTACCGTCAAGGAGGTTTCCTCTCGGGTCAGCTTTGACGTTGTTTTTATTCTCTTTTATGAAATAGGATAAAAGCAGTGGCATGGGACCTCACATTCGATATTAATAGTTTAAATGGATACGTCATATCCTTATATTAAAGTTCTGTGATTACATGAAATATCTCAAAATCACCAAACTGTAATGCTGTGTATAATAATAAAATAATTATAATTAAATCGAAGTATATTTTTGTTCCATTTCTCTAAATAAAAACCTTCACATTGCAGTATATTTCAAGGCACGATTGAGTCCGAGTTCTGTTATCATTAGTGAGTAGAAAAAATAATAGTAATTGTATATAAATGACAGCTGTAAATCCCAAAGGAAATAGCTATAAAAGACTGCCCAATTTTTACAATAATTGTTACAAGTTAATATCGATTTAACTCTGTGCTCGAAAAGTACTGCGTTGTAAATAAGGATGTTATTATTGTTTAATTTAAAAAAAAGATGTAAATAATATTCTATAAATGTTGATTATTTATGCACTGTTAGAGCCTCCCCACCGACCATCGAAACCGCCGATAGAGTAATATAATATATAATCACCTTAGTGCCGGAAGGGCTTAACTGTTTCGGGGCTAGGCTGGAGCCGACAGTACGTAACCCTAGTCCCACCGTGATGCCTTATCATTTACAGAGCCATACTGACAGATAATATACAGATATAGCCGGATATATTATTTTTTTACACTGTTATATGACAGATCTATATTTTAACAGGGATATATAAATATTATTTAAATAGCATAGACTTCGCAGTCCATTATTAGTTGAATATAATAATTATCAATTTGCATACAGTTTTGTCCGACAATATTTGCAATGTACACAGTGTCGTAGTTACTCAAAACCCCCCCAAAGTATTCATTTTGTTTCATTTATCGATATGTTTCGCAAGCAAAATTTTTTTTAGTATTCTTATAATCTATCTCAGAGGTAAAAAAAAAAAAATCTTTCGGGCTTCAAAAAAAGAGCAGGATGCAAAATGAGTACGAATTGGAATGGTTATGGACGCCATATACACATGGGGTCGCAATTCCATACCTTGCACAACCCTTTTTCTAATAGCTACCTCAACAAGATACGTAATCGAAAACAGAAATTCATGTTTTTCGATATCCTCCAAAACCCGCCACGTTAGGCCGCTGCAATAAATTCAAATTGACTATTTAACTTGGTCTAATGTTTTCGGGCGGACAAACAAGCAATAGACACGAGGCTGAGGCTAGTCATGGTTTAAAAACAAAAAAAATAAAAATAAAAAAAAATTATTTGAGTTTATGGTGTTAAAATTGAAATTTTGTCACCACTTATTTGAGAAAAAAAATCACATTATTTGTATGATATATGTATTTGAAAATAAAAATTAAAAAATATAAAAAAAAAATTAATAGATTCTTTTGTTACTATACGTCCATTTGGGTTGTTCCAAGCACCACAATGTATTGTAAAAATATTATATTCGTGTTTGTAGGGATTTGTATTATATAGAATTTTTGCGAATTGTATATTCCATTGTAATGAGCTTTAAGAATTATTGATATTACGAATTTAGTACGAAATTTTTATCAAAAAAAAAAAACTATATGTACTTAAAGGAAAGTGTCAAAACGACTTTTGTAAATATTAGGATTGTATATTGTTATGTTATTTGCAGTATTATATTATATGGTCGATTATTATTATTATTATTATTATATTATTTATATAGGAGCTGGTTAATTTTTAAGGAATTATTTATTAAAAAAAAATTATATATGCATTGTTTCTTATATTAAAATATAGCTGAAGTGAATGAACCTGCTCCTATCTTTCTAGGTACATCATTCATCATCACGCCCTTTCCCTGTTTGTGTACAGATTTGGAAAAACCAAAAGTAATTATCACATCTTAACCAAAAATTATTTTAAAAAATTTAATTGGAACAACCCAGTGTCAAATGTATAGATAGGCGGTACTAACGTTCACTCTATGTATATTCATGTATGTAACATTGTAGTCTTAGTGGCAAGTTGAAGACATTGCAAATGAATAAAGTATTTGTTATAAATTAAGTCCATTTCTTTTTTATACCTCAAATTGAATCCAAACAAGCTGGTTAACTAACACCAAAAGACACTAGTTCTATATATCTTCTAATATTCTATCAGACAATTCACGAAAATGTGAATTGTCTGATAGAATATTGCGCTTTTAGAACTTTAACCTGTAAGTTTATTTTACAATGTTATATTTAAGTTCATTCAGCGAAGAAAATCAACTATTTACAATAAGATGTTATAAAAAATATATTTTACCCACTAGATTATTTTTTATTTATCTGTTCGTTTATTCGATAAGAGTTCCAATCAACGATCAACTAAAGTATAACATTTTTTTTTTATTATTCCAATCTGGATGGATTACGAAATAAATTTCAACCATAAAATTTTTGTTGGATCCATATTTTAAAAGATCATATTTTTAGCATGTATACTATTATTCGACTAATAATTTATGAATGAAAAAATATATATACATTATAATCATAAAATAAATACAAACAACCAACTGATTATTTTCATATTCATATGCTAAGACACGTATTATGAAATGATTAGAAGCTATATTAAATTTGAATATTACAACTACCAGTATTACATAGGACTAGTTGTATCAAGATTGTGCTTAAACAGAACACGCAACCTCTCATATACATTTTTCTATTTCCTCAGTTTTACCAGCGAGGAAACATGAAGTGATTTTTTTTAGCAAATAGCATATTCTGCATACTTTATAAAATACATCGTGCCACGTTCATCATTTTTCCTCCTAAGAATTTATATAAACACCAATATTTTTATAACAACATTTTTCAATACCAAAGAGAATAACCAAAAATTCTACATGAACATGCAGGATTATATGTTTAACTTTATTAAGTACTTGATCAAATTTCTACCAAATTTAAAACAGGTTTCAAAATGATAACTAGCTGATTGTGAAAAAATATGTTGACTAATATGCCGAACAAAAAATTGAAAATACAATTAAATACTCATTAAGGATTGGGAATGAGTTTGTGAATAAAACAACAAAGTAATAATTAAAATATGACAATAAGATATATTAATGAATTTCATAACTAATGAGAATATCTTATGAGTTAAAAAATAAGATATTATAACTGGGACCCTCAGTTTTATAATAAGAATTTTTAAATAAAGGAGATTAGGCAACGTTCAGTTTAAAATATTTTGATTTTTTTCTACAATGATTAATGAGTCGCCACTATGACAGAAATAGGTAGCTAAAACTATTAGGAGGTGTCATTTCTTCCAAATAGTATTTGGAGAGTAAGCGAAAAATTATGTAAAAATATGTTAATTGACTAATTAACTAAATCGAATAAATTTTAATGGTATTCAATTTTCAAGCTATTTAAACTAATTTAATGTTGTATTTTTAAATTAATTTAAATTTGGACGTTGTTATTTTCTTAATATGAGAACTTCATACGCCTTTTTCTTATGGCTTTAAAATTTTTGTAATCAAATTTAAGGACAACAGTATATAAAAGTAATAGTCAGAACCCTTTTAAACAAATTATTAACAGGCGTCTTAAGCTTCGTTTATGGTTTCTTCTCATCGTAACATATAATGCATTTATTTACAGAACGTTTTCCGGAAATGGAACGTTTTCAATCAAGAGATCGGTAAATTTTTTCCAATTTATGAGATATTAAAAACTCGCGGATACCCGCAAACTTTTGCTTCTAGCATAATGATGTGGCCACAAATTCGAGAAAAAGGGAGGCCTACAAAAATAATTGGCCGTTAGTCGTGACCTCCACCCCCAACAAGTCAAGGTAACGAGGTTATAGACTAAACGGCCCAATATTTTTGTATGCTGCCTTTTTCCTTGATTTTGTGATCAAATCATCTTACTATTCAAGCGAAAAACAAAAGGATATTGATGATTTTTTAAGGCCTCATTAAATAAATAAATTAACGCCCAATTTCTGAGAATTCTCGAAGTTAAAAAAGTTGTTATTTACGATTAGATGAAGCCATTCACAATATAAGCATTATTTGTCATAAAAATGATTAAATTTTTCATAAAATTAATATTGTCCTTGAAGCAAATGAATAAAATTGAGCAGCTTTCATTGGGAGCATAACCAATAACGGATTACTTAAGAACAAGTCCCTAACATTACATATTTACATAAAACTTGAATTCATGAATTAACTATAAGTCGTAATCACGCTTTTAACCGTCGCATGTTGGAACAGGAATCTAGCTAGCAGAGCTAATCGTAAAAAGGTTTGTCCTAGTGTGCCATTGCTTGTTTTTCTATCGGTGACTTAAAGATGGCTTAGCTATAGATATATAAGGTAAGGTGCTCACCGGAGGCGCTGCTTCTCAGAGTGTGGCCGAGGCGAGACTGACCCTAAAGATGAAGAGGCTAAAGACCGCCGAAAGAAAGCGTATTGGGTTTTTACACCTCGGACCCCCAGCACCTTTGTCGGCTGTAGAGATAACATCTTCACCTGTCACATCTCGGCGAGAATAATTGGTGATAAAAAGCACAAACCCGGCGGACACGGTGTGCCTGCATAACTGTACCCCTCCTCAGTTCCGCTAAGCCAATTAGCAGATCGCTGGTAATTGTGATTTCGTATGCACCGGCTACATTGTTGGAGAAGCTGTTTTGTACGGAATAAATGATTTTCTGTGTAGCGACATCTATTTCATTGCTCGTAGTTCGCATCTACCACTATAAAGACGATGTATGAGGATCTTGGATTTTCAGGTTAGGAGATGTATGTATATGGTGCACAACTGAGTCTATTCCTGGGTATTTAGCTAGGAAATAATGTTGCGGTTAGGATCATATCACAACTTTCACGATAACTTCAGTGATTGACTGATACTGGTACTTCTAGTGGACGTCTCGGTCCTTTTTACTAACCCCAAATTGAATACACCAATGAAGACTGTTTTCGCCTCATTCCGAACATTTTAGTTTTCCTAAAGAAGTTCAAAATAGATTACCATTCAATGAAGAAAACCTTGTGTTCTATGATTCTATAAGAATTTAGAATACTGTACCTAAGTGACATATAATGGTTCCATTCTACTACATAATGTATTTCTTGTGCCTTGCAACATAAAGGGCAGGTTTCTCACAACCCCGCAAATCGGTTAAATATCTTAGGTCTTTGGCGGCCTTTTAGTTAGAGCTCCGATAGTTAACCGAACTTCGTTTCTATTCAGACCAAGCAGTCAATTGGTTTTAGAGATGGTTTTGAATAAATTGTTTGGTTTGCCTAAGACCTAACTCCACTTCTTACATTTAGCGATTGACCAGGAGAACCATCTGGCCGAACCAGTTTCTTCCCTTACGAATATATAGTACAAGAGAAAACTCTCGACTGTTCAAAATAGGGAGTAATTTTGAGCAATGGATATATGAACAGTAGCCTATTAACATTATTTACTATACAATCAAACAAGGAATATTAAAAACAAAGAAAAGAGAGATACCTGTACATGAGAATTAGGGTATATAACAATACTTAGAGAGAAAAAAATATAATACAATTGAGCCTTTAATTTCATAAGAATTAAGGAAAGCCAGAAATATCAGAGAAATTCATTGAAACAGGTTCTTCTATTATACTTGACAATGCCAACATTTCGCCAAAAGATATAATACAATATCTTGGACTGACATTTGACAGAAGAATGACATGGGGCCCACAAACAAACAAAAAAATAAAACGTTAAACCTCAGATATTACGGCTATTATACTCACTTCTTTTAAGACGCTCAAAATTAAACTTAAAACAGAAACTGAACACTTACATTTACAAACGATCCACTTAAGGAAACTACAAACCTGTCAGTCAAAAACTTTCAGGACTATAACTAACGTTCCATGGTATGCAACAAAGAAAGCTTTACATAAAGATCTAAACATCCCAACAATTAACGATCATATAAGAACCCACTACAAACATTTTCACGATAATTTACATGGGCATTGTAACACACTTATAAAAGACAAGGCCACGATTAATTTGCCCGAAATACTAGGAGGTTCAAAAGAAGCTGAATGAGGGATTTCAAAGCTTAAAAATATACCAAAATTAAGTCAGGAAAGGACAGCGGCATCCTTTCCTGACTTAATTTTGGCGTATGCCTCTTCTTCACGCCTATCGAACCACTACCATTATTCTTAACAACAGCAGACTCGCTAATTGTTAGTACTTCTGACACGTTAGGATGAAGAAATAAAGTTTATAATATTTATATTTTTTGAATAAATTATGATTGATTCGCATTTTTACTTGCCTATAACTTAATAAGTACACAAATGATAATTTGGAAATGGCAATGCAAGTTTTTTAGAGTCTAGAATAAATTACTTCACCATCTTCTAGAACTAATTCTTTTCAAACCCAGCACGTTAAAAAAACAACACTTTTTTTCAAATTGTCTTTAGTTTGTGTTAAAATTCTCTTTCTCTGATTGTATTTTGATAACTTGGTTCTGGTTATTCGTTCAATGTTTTGCTTAAAGATTTGTTTTGAGTTGTAGAATCCATTAAACGTGCTTATTTTTTTATCGTAATAATCCCAGAACTGGTTGAATCTCGAAAAAACTCTTGTAAAAACGAATCAATAAAATTCACATTTAGTATGAAATACTTCCAAATCCCCCTTTCTATTTAGAGCTCAGAGATGAGTTGGATGGTTTGTACTGTGAGTTGACCGATTTATGTAGTTACGAGTTTTTTATTGCCTACCGTCGATATAATAAATACGTTTTTTTTTTTTTTTTTTGATGGTCTCCATGAGTTTTTACATTGACAAATATGACGGAAATTTACAAATACGTTCTTTACCGATCTTCTTAAACGCACTTTCGCAGTAGTCCAATTTGGGCAGAAAACAATTGCTTCTCAAAGTAGTAGGGTGAGTGAAAGTTATGGAATACTTGGTGAAAACAGATTTTCAGTATGTTGGTTGTATGGACCAAATACATGATTTGGAGTTTGGGACTATCGGCTACATTTGCTGCCATACACATACATCTTTCCTTTAAGACAAGGTAGAGAAATGATGG